TCCCTCTACTCCTTAAGGTGCCTCCTCCGTCTACTCACTTAAGGTGCCTCCTCCTTCTACTCACATAAGATGCCTCTTCCCTCTACTCACTTAAAGTGCCTCTTCCCTCTACTCACTTAAAGTGCCTCCTCCTTCTACTCACTTAAAGTGCCTCCTCCTCTTACTTAATGTGCCCCCTCCTCGTCACACTCTTAAGGTGCCATCTTCCTGTATTCAACTAAGGTGACTCCTCCCTCTACTCACTTAAGAGGTGCCTCCTCCCTCTTCTCATTCATATACATTTTTTTCTGGAATTCCGATGGTTATCCAAAATAATATACTGATTTATAAATATGCAAACCATGGAAACCATTCCAGTGTAGCTTTGAGGGCAATATTTGACCAAAATTTATATGGAATGATAGAAATTTATCCAAGCTGGAGTTATTCCTCTTATAAAAGTATCAGTTAACCTTGAATAACTGATTTCTAGGTGATTGCACATTTTTTATAACATAAGTTGCATTGCTTTTTCAAGAATATTAATCATTATTAAAAATTTAAAATAATTAAATATGACTTACCAAGATTAGGTCATGAATACATTTCAGAAAAGAAATACAAGCTACCATAGAAAGACTAAAGAGAGCAGAGAGTAATTTGACTGCCAAAGAAAGGGAGCTAATGGAACGGGAGATTAAATTGTTAGAAAGGGAGAAAACCCTGGAACAACAATTCAAAGCTGTGGTAAATATACACCAAGTAGTGTCATATGTTTTGATAGGACTGCTAGGTTTGCAGGATATACATGTAACATTATTTATATAATCATGTTTGTGTGAAATATTTGCTTAGTAGAAATATATTGTGTATACTGAATTTTTGTGAATACTGTATGCAGGGTTATTTTTGCCCCATGTTATTTTAGCCCTTTCACTCTTGCAAACAATTTTGCCCAATTTTAAATTGGCCTAGTCGTAGATTTATTAAAGAAATTATACAAGTGTATATTTTGAATTCAACCACATTTTAAATTCACCCAAATGAGAGTATGGCAAAAACTGCGAAAATAAAAAGGGGTTGAAAATTTTCCTGTACGCAGTATCCCAGTGGTCCTTCCAACGTCATAATTTATGAAATTCCATGCGCCAGGTACAATTCACAACATTTTCACCACCTAGGGCCTTTTTTCACGCCTTTTAACTACACTAACAGATACATATACTCTGATTATTTACAGCATTTGGATTCCTATGATGTCAATTCATGGAGTGAGATAGACGTGGTAAGTTTTAATTGATCCTCATTAGTTACCATGGTATCAACTAATTGAAAAAAAAATTTTGTGAAATGTTCATGTATGATAGGGATATTTTGAGGGTTTTTTTTTTTTTGAATAAAAAGGAAGGGGGAGGGTTCTTCAAAATTCATGTTACATTTATAATGACTACAAGTATGTTTGGATCTTAATTTTCTATACAGTATCATTGCGATGAAGTAAATTGAGAAATGTTTATTTTAACAAAACAGAACAGTCATTTTAATTCTCATATATAATGATTGATATCTGTCCTTGATGATGTTTTGATTGATTTCAACCTTGGAATATTTTGCATATGTTCTTAATTATCTACTATTACTTTTAGTATCAGTGGATTCTCCAAATGCAGAATGGTGAGCATTTAAAACTAATTAAAATTTCAGAAATTTATAAATGAAATCCTTGCCCCATTCACATATTATAATGTAGGACATTTAGTAAGGCCATGCAAAGTTAATTACTTGGTTATCAGGCCTTTTTTCAAGAAATATGATGAGGGGAGAATAAGGAGGCATTTTTTTTCTTTTTTATTGCCCCCCAAAACATGATGAGGAAGCTTTTAACATTGTACAAAACCTCAATAAATGATGAGGGAGGTGATTTGATGTTTATATTTTATTGATTTAGCAATAAAAAGGGTCAATGAGGCACCCTTGGAAGAGATGAGGGAGGGCCTGAGAACCAAGAAATTAATTTTTTTTTGCCTAACCTTGCTTCATTTTTGTGCCCGCCTTGACCCTTATAATAACATAGGACATTTCACTGATCTAAGTCTAGTGACCTTGTTGTTTACTGTGTCCTTGACCCTTCACATTTATTATAGGACACTCTAGTGACCTTGCCCAGTATGCAGGCATCTTCCTTCAGCACAACATTACCGGCAAGCGACTGATGATGTTGAATCTAGAACGCATCCAAGCTATGGGCATTACCTCAACTGGGCACAGTATGGAACTAATGGTAAGTCATGGGCAGTCATAGATATGGGCAAACCTTTGTGGTTTATATAGTTTGTGTAAAATGATCATTATTTTTGTATACAGATTTTGCAATGATTAATGATAGAATTAACTTTTTAGTATTAAATCACTTCAGCTAAGTTAGAAATTGTTTCAAGTCTGGCAAAGGAATTTTTATCACAGGATTATTTTATTTATTTTGATGTTTTTTTGTTTGAATTATACAAAATCCTTAATTATTTTTAGTGATTACAAAATAATAAAGTGATAACATTATTTTTTGGTGATTTCTTTGGTGTTTCTTTTAAATATTCCATTGTACTTTTTTAATTTATTGTAATTTTTCTGATTACATTGTTATTTTGGGATTATATTGTTATTGTGTGATAACATTTTAACTAAGTGATTACATTATAATTTTCTGATTATAGACAGAAATAGAATTGTTAAAGGCCCATAACCACAGGCTGCTGAATTTTCCACCGCTGTCTAAAGTAAGTTTGTCCTGTAAGAGTTATCCGTCCTTCAGCCTCTTCTTAAAATCATCTCATACTTACTTAGTTTTTATAATAACATTATTAAAATAGTAGTATCTGTTTGTAATATGATAATGAATTGCCATTACTTAATGTGAAATCAAATCATTATTTTATTGTGGGTTTGATTTATGTTCTTCTCCAAGAAATGTCAAATTTTGAAAATGTATTACTTCTTAACACTACTTCAACCATGAATTTATTTTTTCACAAACCACTATGTTTTGTTCAAATCACAAAAAAACCCAGACAACATGAAAATTTGTAATTTTTTGGTACATTGAGTAAAAAGAAAATCAATTTAATTAACAGAAGCTTATTTAATTTGTTTTATTTACTTTTTTTTTCCAATTTGATATACCGTAAATCTGAAATTTTTTGCTGTAGATAAATTATTTGCAAATTTGAGAGTTCATTCTCTTCGCAAAAATATTTTTCTTAAAATTAAATCACCGATAAGGAAATGTAAACAAAGCAGTGGTTATTCGCAAAATTTTGAAATGTAAAAATTAATCAACAGCATTTTGACCCGAATTCATAAAATAAAATTGACATAAAAATTTCCAGATTTACGGTATTTATTTCATTTTATTTAGAATTTGCTTGAGTTATGATTTATTATTTCATTTATTCATAGTTCATTTTGTTCATCATTCTTTAAATGTATAACTGTTCTTTTCAGTCTGATGACATGCCAGTGGATACTTCTCCAGTTCATCGTCAGATTTCCCTCACCCTCATTTTTGGACATCATCTCAGGCAGGGAAAAAGTAAGAAGGTATGATCAGCCTTGTAAATGGCAGATATACTGTAGATTCCTAATCATACTTGTGGAATTAATTATATCATAATATCACAGAGAAACACCACCCTCAAAATAATATTACTCACTTTTATTTTTATGGTGCTTAAATAGATGCAAAAATCTCTTGATTAACTATCCATTCGCAAATTATTATTCTCGCGATTTGACGTTGAAGAGCCAATTCATGATTGTAAGTAATGACTCCCAAAAATAAGGAATCTACAGTAGGTCATGCACAATAAAATTGATTGTCCTTGGTTTGTGACATCATCTCAGGCAGGGAAAAAGATTAGAGGTATGATCAGAGTTAATAGTGACAGATATAATGCAGAAGCAGAAATATTGGTGGGAATTAAATTTCATTTATTTCGTTGTTAATAATTATGAAGAAAAATAAATCCCAAAAGAAATTTTTCCATGACTATATTTTGCATTGGTTAAATTTCAGAACAATGAAATTTTATGTTCATGAAACCTTTTTAGATGACAAATCAATGAAATATAATGCCCACAATAATTTGTGCTTTTACAGTAGGTCATGCACTGTAAATCGGTTGCCCAAGCTTGGCTTGTAAATACAGAAAAGTCACATAAGGAATTCTTTTGATATAAACAATCTAATAAGCCCAGGCTTCTTAGGGGAAAATAAAAAAATATTTGGCTGGAAAAAAAGTCTTGCATTAAAAATGAAGCATGAAAATGCAAGTAGAGCTATATTGTACCTGAAGTTACAATGTAAGAAAGTGGGCTTCATATTTTAGCTGCTTTGGCACAGACATTGATGCTTTAATTCCTGAATACCACCAAGAAAACATAAATACAATTTTTAGCATGGACTTGTGTAGCACTTTTATGATTATGCCAGCAACTCCATATCCATTGATTGCACTGAAGTTTAAATTTGCCAAATTATGTACAGTGTACACATAAGTAATCTATTAGTAACCTGGAATTCATGTTCATCAGGGTTCATGACTTTCTATTTAATTTAGCATTTCCTCTTGGAAATTTAAGGACAAAATATATTATTAATTTTGTGGAAAAGTGGGAACATACTTTCCTTCAATCGTAACTCTGTAGTTTGTGTTGCTGAAAATTTGTTCATGTGTAAATAATTTGTGAGAAAAATGTTGTTGCATGAGCCATGATTCTCAGATGTCAATGAAGACCCACACATATCTTATTAAACAGCAACTGCTTTTAGTAATCTATCAATCAAGGGTCACTTTGGGGGGGGGGGGGGGGTTGAAGGTCAACAAATGCCTGAAGCTTGACAGATCTGGCAGGAACAATGGTTGTTTCTTGGGGAGATGGAATTCTGTCTAAGCGTTAGTGTGTAGATTTGGTACATGCTTGCTTTCTCCTACTCACATTGTTATTTCTGGGGCTAAATTTTTATGACCCTCTGACAACAAGCAACTGGGGTTACTAACATCAGATCGTATCAGCTCACACAATAGAGGCGAGGTATTTTTCTCCCTTTATCCTCAGTAGGAGAAACCAACACAGAATGTCGGGCCCAAAGATAAACCAGGGGAATGCCTTAGAGATAAGATTTCAAGGCATACAAGAAGAATAGTTCTCTAGGTTGATCATTGTCTGTTAATGTTATCTGACTTATATTGACAAAGAAAAAGATTAAAAATAGTGACACCCTGTAGCTTATCTCTGTCATCAAGTCACATGACCTCCTCAGCCTCTCTTTGAGGTAGAGTCTGTCACTTTACATGTATTTCTACAGGTTCTAGGCATTTCACAGTGTTGTTTTGGGCTTCGTAAACATCAGACTATATTTTTCAACTTTTATTTCTAGTATAAAAACACCTAAGCTTGAATATTTGTCAAGCTTGAAAACATTTTCTTGTCTACTTAAGTTACTAGGGATATTAGAATACTAGTAGTACAGCTAATTCATATGATGCTGTACAAGGTACATGTAAAATTGTACTTTTGCATTTTCTGTTTTTATTAATGTTGCCTTTGTTGTTTTTTGATGCAAGAATGTCTGACCTGAGTTTGAAAATACCTTACAAAGAGTGAAGTAAGCTGAATACTCAGTTAACGTGTTTTGTCCCTCTCAGGTAGAATTAAGGTGGTTCATCCCTCTCAAATAGAATGAAGTTAAGTTTACTTAGTTAAGGTGACTCATCCCTGTCAGATGTAGTGGATTTAACTCAGGTAAGATGACAATGTCCCTTTCAAATGGATTGAAGTTAATTAAGTTAAGTTGACTTTTCCTTTTAGATTGAATTGAATTAAGTAAGTTTAGGTGTTAGTATTCCACTGAGATAGACTTAAGTTAACTCAGTTGAGGTGATGAGGTCCAACTAAGATAGTGTTTACTAAGTTAAGGTGATAAGTTGTATTTATATAATTAAGTTAAGGTGATAGGGTCCAATTAAGATTTAGTTTACTCCCTGAAGGCTGGCAAGGCCCAATTAAGATTAAGTTAAGTCTTTTTAGGTAAAAAGGTTCAAATAAGATTAATAAGTTAAGGCTGTTGAGGAGGCAAGGTCCAACTAAAATTTAGTAACTAAGTTAGGGTGGTAAGGTCCAACTAAGATGTACATAACTAACTAAAAGTGATAAGGTTTGACTTAGATATTGTTAACTAAGTTAAGGTGTTTACTGTTATGGTCAAACTTGGATAGCATTAACTCAATTAAGGACGACAGACCTAATTCGAAATTTCGTGCCACTGTGCAGGAAGTCGCGCATCTGCCTCGAATCAGATTGACGTAATTATATATTGCTAAAGATGATTGATATACATTTTTTAATGTTTACAAAGAGTTTCATACCTCTATTCCATATTCAAAAATATTTTACACAATTCGATTTACATTCATTTGTTGATTCTATAAGTAAATGATTATTTTACGACATTTGCCATAAGCGCATGGCGAGTAAACAAAAACGTGTTGTGATGTTGATGATTTTCCTGCCTCGTCGGTTAAGCTGGCTTTTGTTCATTTGAAGCTTCGTTTTTCATTAAAAAATGAAGTGCAGCAAGTACAAACATCGTCATAAACTACGGCCAAATGTACAACCCCTGTCTCTCATTATCGATACGATTCTAGAGCGGATTCTGGACCGTGGCCTGAGACAATAAGTTCAAGTTGATATTTCTGATGGAGATGATTTGTAAGGAATTAAGATCTTTTTCTGAATAATGTCTGTTAGCCTACGTTGCCTTTTCGTCCGAAAGATGAACTAAACATGCATGATGCTAAATGAACATAAAAGTGTTTGTAAATGAAGGAGAAAACAGGTCCAGGAAAATCACTATATTTAGCTATATAGGTAAATCTACCTATAGAGCTTTATTTACCTATAAAATATAGCTATATTTAGCTATTTTGGAATAAGTTTCTGTTTTATGAAAAGCAGACAAAAAGTCACTTGTAAATTATGGCTGATATATTTTTTAAAGGTTTGATGAAAACAACCTAGGGCATAGACAGTAAAAACATTAAGTGTGCGGTGAGGCATGACTAAGTGTGATTGCCTTGCATTGTGCTCAATTATTACCAATCAATTATCTTGTTGACCAACACTGCTTTTCTTTGTTAAGGTAGCTGCTTACTCACAGATTAACTGTTATACATAGCCCCAAAACTTTTAAATCTTTGATTGCAATAGCACAAAAGGAGAAACATTTTTGCAAGTGGGTTTTGGGTGAATTGTTTTCAAAGTTGAAAACTAATACTGCCTCATTATGCGATTTTTTGTCTGCCTTTCATAAAACAGAAATTTACTCTGAAATAGCTAAATATAGCTATATTATATTGGTAAATAAAGCTATATAGGAGGATTTACCTATATAGCTAAATATAGTGATTTTCCTGGACCTGGAAAACAAGAGCCCGGAATGCAAGGACCCTAACAGCTGCCAAAGCTTGAAATTTCTGATGTGATATCAACACTATTCAGTATTTCATTAGGGATAGACATTAAATTTTATATTCACTTGTCCTTTGGGCAAGTGAACTACAAATTTGACTTGTCCGAACCCAAAATATGGTTGCCCAAAAATTTTAAAGAAGAAAATACCAGTTACCGTATCCTAATTTGTTACTGTAAATATTTAAGAGTTACAAATTAATTCCTGTTTTAAACTTAACTGCCTGGGGAAAAAAATTTTTTTTTGATATGACGATGATGCAACATTTTGTTACCGGCCGCCAGGAGGCGGTCGGTTACTTGATATGAAAGTTTGAAGTCGCCG